AGGGGTTTGAGCTTCCCGTTGCGGTCTGTTCCCGTCAGCCCCGAGCAAGCCGGCCGGGCGCTGCGCGGGCTGAGCCCGGGTGGCACCAGGCAGCACCAGGCCGGGCTCTTTGCAGGCTGTGCCTGCCCGGGGAGGGAGGGGAGCTGCGGGGCTGGGGTGCAGCGCGTGCGTTTTCCTTTCTGCCTGCTGTTTGTTTTTCCTTATAAACCAGCAGGAGCGCCTGGCACTGCCCTGGTTGCCAGGACAGCCCCCCTGCTGCGGGTCGTACTGTGGGAGGGGGGTACCTGCACGTGGGTTTCCCTCTGTTCGTGCCCCAGGGACCCCACGTGCAGGGGGTACGGTCCCACGTGCAGGACCTGCGTTGTCAGGCTAGGTTTGCTGCGGGGGGGATCGGCCTTGCAGTGCCACGGGGTCCTGCCGCATGCAGGAACAAGGCGATCAGACAGGTCACTGCATGCCATGGATGCGCCCCAAGGAGAGGAGGGTTCGGAGCAGGAGGAGGAAAGCCACAGGGCTCAGAGGGCAACGTCACTCCGCACCCCTGTTGGCAGGTCCCTGGGTGCCAGGTCATGACGGGTGGAGAGACACGGGCTTTTCCAAAGTGACTTGTTCCTTGCTTTGGGAACGCTGAGCTCGGGAGGAGCAAAGCATCTTTCAGAGGGGCAACTGCTCCCAGGGGGCAGACGGAGCCTGCAGCGCTTGCCCAGGCCTCCCTGCTTCCTCTGCGGCACCAGGGGCGAGCGTGGGGCCCAGGAGCCGGTTGTTACAACCAACACAACCTCCCGTGCCTGGCACCCCAGAGGCGTGCAGACACCACCCCCCAACATGTGGGCACAACCCAGCAGGCGCTTGCCGGTGCTCGGGCATGGGTCCGTGGCCCTGGAGCAGGGTCCAGCTGCTGCTTGACCGGCGTTTTGGCTGGGTAAGGGTGGCAGTGAGCAGCTTGGAAGGCGCTACGGGCTTGGTGGAGGAGGAGGGGAGCAGCTACCCTAGACGAAAGCCTGTTTGTTGCTAGGGAGGAGCAGCCCCTGCCAGGCAGGAGGTGATGTGGGAGAAGTGATCGCAGATGAAAGTCCCTCGTGGCAGAGGTGGAAGGAAGGAGAGCAGCAGGATGAGGCTCCGCACACCAGACGTGCCCCAGCTCCGCCACCAGGCACGCAAGGCTGAACAAAGTGGCTCTGTCCTGTGGATTCCCCCAGGGAATCTGGCCTGGGCAGGTCTGCGCCCCCCCGGGGCCCAATGGAGAGGCCAGGACAATTAGCCCCCGCCCGGCGAATCCTGCCAGCACCTCCACGCTGCACTCGTGCCGCTGGGAGCACATCCCACACCCCCCCAGCCGATCCCGGTGTCGGATCAGGAGCCACAGGAGGTGACGGCTCCCAGGGGGATTCTGGGCTTACAGAGCAGAGCCCGGCCAAGAGCCCCACACACCCGCATCCCCAGCCCCTTCCCAGGGAGCTGGGCTGGGCCGCAGCTGCGTCAGACGAGCCGAGTTTGGTTTCCTCCCATGCTTTCCTCCGGGCCGTTCCCGGCTCCCCAG